AAACAGCTTTCCCCGTGCTCTTACCGTGCTCTATCTTGTTCTTTGCATTAACCCAGAGCTTCCCCTGCTCGCCAGCAGAAGGGAACTTCAGCTGGATGCAAAAAGGAACATGCAGATCCAGGCTGGTGCGGGAGCCTGGAGAAGGGGCGAGTGCTCCTGCCCTGTGCTCTTTAACTCTCTTCAGCAAATTGCATTAGTGTGTGACAAATTGGCTCGCAAAGCAGCTAAATGGAAATGACATTTGGAGCAGTTTGCTGTGCAGACCCTGTGGTGTCTCGGGGAAACATGTGATTTGCAGAATCTTCCCGGCATCTCCAATTTAACCGTCGCTACGAGGCTTTCCAGAACTTACTTTGGGAACTCCTGTTGCAGCTAAATGTGGGAGTCTAGAGCATGTCTTGGAACCGTTGCCCAAAAGCTAGGGCAGATGTAGGTGCAGACTGTCTCAATGCTGTAGGCAGCTCCTGTGAAGAGCTGAACCAGGAAAGAAAGCAAAAGCTGATATTTAGAAATTGCGTGGGGCGCGCGGTGAGAAGCTTAAGGTGGGAAGCTGGGCTGGCTCTTGGGTGCCAACACAAGGCTCTCCTGTGGGAGCAGAGGTACCGTGGTTCAGCTGAGGTGGATTTGTGGCTCTCAGAGGAGCGGACGGCGCCGTATCCAGCAGGAAAGCGCACACCTGCCTCTCCCATCCCGCCTCTCCGAGCGCATCCGCGGCCGTTTGAACGCGGCGGCGATCGAGCTGCTTTAATTGGCCCCTCTGCAGCTTGAACAATAAATATGTAATGGGGGAGAGTTGCCCCCCTGTTCCACACGGCGTTGGGGCTGTCATTTTTTGATGGGGAAGCATGTGCTCTCCTCTCTCCTCGTCCCCACACGCTCGGGCTCCGCTCCCGCCCGTCTCTTATGGGCGCGTGAAAACCGCACTCCCCCATCTGCGTTTGGCATCCTTAAAAGGAGACAAAAAAAAAAGGGGGGGGGGGAAAGATGAACCTGAGCAGGCAGTGCTCCTGAGACAGGCCCCTTCACATTTCTAAACACTCTTGATTATTCAGCTAATCTTTATTTCATGGGCCTGTTACAAGAAACACAAACGGGGGAGAAAGTAGAAGGCGGTGACACATTTAAAATACACAAGAAAAGTGCTGGCAGGAATATAATCGCTCTTCTTCCAGCGATATGAAATATTTATGGGCCTAAGTTGTGGCAAGATTCTCTGCCTCCCCTCCCACCTAACTCTGAAATGTTTTTCCCGGTAAACAGGAGCTGGGGGGCACTGGTGGTGCTGCCAGCAGAGCGCTGTTTTCCCCCAGCTGGCCGGGCACGGCGTCCGTCTGTCCATCCCTGTGGAAGGGGAAGGGAGGGGAGGAGTGGAGTGTGCTGGCCAAGCTGCCCGGCTCGTACGGGAGCAGAGCGTTGTGTTACAGTCTGTTAACTCGAAATAATTCAGCAGCGTCCCCTCGGCGAGCTGTGAAAAGCCCCCTTTGAGGTGCCCGTGTTGTGCAGGAGCCCGTTCTCCCCCAGGGCGTTCTGCTATTAATTCATTAGATCTGAGGGTTTTTCTCTCTCGTCCCCCCCTCTTTTCTCTTCCTCCCCCCCTCCCTTGCAATTCAAACAGTGATGAATGGACAAAAATCCCTCAAGGGAAACATTTTTTCACTTAGTTACAAAGATTTCATGGCTAATTAGAGTAAATGTGGTTTTTAGAGTGTTAATCTCTTAACCAGCTTGGCTGGGAGGCCACCGCCACAACAGCAAAGGGGAGGGCAGGGGGAACCAAGGGGGAAAAGGTGCTTCCAAGTTCTTCCTGGGACGCTGGTGGCTGCGGACGCTGGTGACTGGATCTGATGTGTCTGGATCACCGGGAGCATCCCGTGCTGACCTCCTTAGCTCTGCCAGTTGGGTGCCCACCTCACTCCCCGGGCACTGGGCTGGGTGATACTCGAAGGCATTTTGGTCTGAGGAGGCCAGGAGCTCTTTGTGTGCACAAGTGGTGCAGCGGGAGCCTCCGGGATGAAAGGCAAAGCGGGAACAAAAGCAGAATTGAGGGCAGCGTGCTGTCCTTGGGCGGCAGAGGCGGCCGCCCGGGGCTTGTGTTCAGAGTCTTTCTCTGCAGTGAAAATATATGTATTTACTGGGTGGTTTTAGTGCCAGGAAGGGAAATGGGCTGCGGGTGCCTCGGGCTGGCTGTGTCACAGGGTGGCCACTGCACCTCCAGCCCTCGTGTGCTTGGAGTGCCCAGGCTCGCTGGTGACACACGCGGGCCAGGGGACGTGTTACTGCCCAAGTTTTGCTGTTGGAAGTCGTCCCCTCTGCTGCTGTGAAGGGGATTTATCCTTGATGTCTGCTGTCGTGTTCCTCTCTCCTCCGGTTCTTCTCACCCCGGCGTCCACCTTTCCAGCCCGGTTTTGGCTTCACCCCGAATGGCTCTGGAAAATGGGGTGAGTACTTTGTGAGCCGGCTCTCCCTGGCAGCCCACCCTGAGCCCCACAGCCGGCACAGAGACAGCTGGGGGGGATATGGGAGTGGGATGTGGGCTTGAAATTCCTCCTCATCCCACTAGAGGGGATCCTCTGGATCCAACTGAAAAACGAACGCAAACCCAGCAACTGGCAGAGCTGCGCTGAGCCGCAGCCTCTGGGTGACGGCAGGACGGGGTACAGGGGCTGGAATTCCGACCCGCAGCTTTGCTGAACACAGCACTGGAGGGGGGACAGGAGGATTTTGGTGCTTTTCAGACATTCCCGGCCAAGGCAGGCTGGCTGTAGCTGCCTCTCCCTGCTCCTTGTCCGTGTGGCTCATGGCTCCTCTGCCCACTGTGTGTGAACCCAAACTGGGAGCTGCTCAGGTGGGGGTGAGGCTGCTCTAGAAGGACTTTACCAAGAAAGCACAAGTTTCCCAAACACACGAGTGCAACATATGTCAGTGATGTACCTTAATCTCCTGCGTGGTTCTGAGTGGGAATTGTGATCCATCTGTGTGTCTCGGAGGGGCTGAGTGATGCCTTCAGCCCCAGGCTGGGTACCAGGGTGCTGGCTGCTGCCTGGCAGGGGCTGCCAGGGAAAGGGTGCTGGGAAAGAGGTGCCCTCCCCTGCTTGTCGGAGAGAACCCATCTCATGTTTCTCTCCGTAATCGCAGCTTCTGTTTGGGTGAAACCGAACTGGGAGGTGGCGATGGGGGGGAATGAAAAGCCAGATAAATGTACTGCATTATGAAAATTTAATCCTGCTTTGCCTGGGCTAAAATTACGTTCAGAGCAGGAGATAAAAGGCATCAGAATCACGTCGTAAAAAAGCCCAGATGATCTCCAAAGGCAGAGCGATAGTGAGCCCGGGAGAGCCCTGCCAGCCAGAGCCCCCTGTGCCAGGGTGGCAGCCAGTGCTGCTCCTCCCTGCCTGGCACTGGCAGAGGGACCCTGAGCCTGCCCTGGGACCAGCCCTGCCACTGTCCAGGCTGGCAGCTCTGTGTGAGTGGCACACTCGGTTCCATCTCACCACTTGCTGAAGGAGAAGAAACAGAGGTCCCCTGTGAAAGTTCTGTTATCCAGCTGATGCCATGTCAGCCCTCTGCACCGTGTCCCGTGTCTCCTGTGAGCTCCTGAAAATCACAGTGCACAAGGATGACCCCTCTGTGCCGTGGGCTCCTGCCTGGCTGGGGATCTCCCAAAGCCCAGGAGACCTGGAGAGAGTCTTCAGAGCTCCTGCCCACTCCAACCATTCCCTCTGCCCCTCTGATAGGGAGGGAAGAGCCTAGAGCCCTGTGCAGTTTTTGGGGTCTGAGTGTCCAGTGGAGGATCCTGCCCCAGCCAGGCCCCGGCTCTCCAGAGCAACTGCATGTTGAGCTTGGTGTTCCAGCGGCTTCCCAGGCAGGAATATCCCTCACAACCCTTTTCCTGCTCCAGCACCGTTTCCCCACTCCATAAAAGTGAAAGGTGATGTCTGAGTAAATATTACAGTGACCTCTCACCTCGTCTCCTCCCGCTGCCGCCGCTGTTCCTGCTCAGGGCTCATTCCCGGAGCCGCCGGCTGAGCTGGGGTTGTGCCGCTGAGGAGGGGGCTTGGAGCTGGGCTGGGGGCACGGTGGGGGCTCAGTGCTGGAGCAGGAGCCTGGCACCTCAGGGCTGGGAGTGGCACGGGAAGGGCAGGCTCCTTCCTGGCTGCCTCGAGCGCGGTAAGTGGATGCTGGATCAGCGGTCGGTCGGGAGCAGTGGGAGCGGTGGGAGCTCTCCCAGCGGGTGCCAGTGCCGTGTAACGCTGCACTCGTGCTCACAGCCCAACCACCAGCTCTGGTGGGAGCACAGGGAGGTGCTGCTCTAGGTGGTGCTGCTCTGGCAGAAGCCTTTGTTGGAACTTACACCAGGGAGAATCCGTGTGAGCAGGAGACTGTTCGGAGGAGCGGGCACAGGCAGGAAGAGCTGCATCCGCCTCTGTGTGACCTGGAGGGCTCTCCAAGAGCTGCACCAGTGGCTCCCACCTGTCGTGGCCTCCACTCGGGGCTTAGTGCCGGGATGTGTGTGGGGAAGCCCCCTGGGATGCACAGACAACTCTTGTTCCATTTTCCTACTGAAGGGATGGTTGATGTTGGAGCGATAGCCCTTGGGGAGGCCATTCCTGGTGTATATCAGGGCAGGTTAAAGGAAACAGCTTATTTAGCTTTCAACTCCCATCTGGCTCTTAGCAGCGTTTGCAGAACAGCAGCTCGGTGTCAGGCTCCAGACCCCCTCTTTCCCTGTCCTGTGTCTCGGGAAGCCCTCACAGCACTTGGGGGAAAACAGGAAAGCTGTGGGACAGCGCTGGGCTGCCGGCCCTGCCGCCCGTGACGCGCGCCGGGAAGGAAGCGGATCCACCACGACCGGTCCTGGAGCCGCCGTCACACCCTGACTCAGCGTGGAAGAAGTTCCTCGTGTTATTTCCAGGCTCAGGAGAGCCTGGGAACAAATGCCTCCCCGGGGGGATTTATGTGTGGTTCTTCTTCCGCAGCGGTTTCGTGTCAGCGGGTGAGAGCTCGGAGCGATCCCTCGTGTACTGGAGGAAACGGGGTGTCCACACTGGAGGTGTGCAAGGGTGTTCCTGCTTTGGTTGGTTAACCTGGGAATGAGCTTCCAAAAAGTGAGTTTGCGCTCCAGGTTTTTGGAATTTATGCTTAAATAATACTTCAGAGTGAGGCTTTGAGTTCTGTCGATTCGCTTCTCGATTTCTGGGCTTTCAGGGTTTGCCTCGTCAAGGTTTTCTTGTGAGTCCAAAGTGGCTGTTTATCCCCTCAGAGTGGGAAGCTGAGATTCTGGGCATCAGAAGTGGTGTGGTGACTGTGTGTGTGCTGGTAACAGGGTTAAAACCTCCACAGTCACCTTACTGAAATGGGCCATGTCCCACTTCTGGGAGGGTATTCCCAAAGCAGCAGATCCCAGCGGGCTGGGTGCTTGCTCAGGTAGCCAAATATGAGGGATTCACATGTGGCCAGTTGGTGTGAAGGGCTTTGTTCCCCGTGGCTGGGTAGATTTATTGGTGTCAGAGCAGAGAAATGGTAAGTTGGCTGCTTAACAGGGATGTTACAGTTCAACTCCATAAAACACGCCGGCTGTCTCCTTTACTCATTCATTTGCCAAGTCCCCAAAAAGTCACAGTGACAGGAGCAGAGGATGGAGCACTGCCCTCATGATCATATTTCCTGCCTTTGCTGGTTTATGTCACAGCCTGTAATGTTATTTAAACAACAACAGAAAAAAGCCTGTGAATTTCCTTTTGATTTTTAATGGAAGTGCAAAGAGGTGGGGAGGATAAGGGAGCGTGCCTGGAGGCTTCCTAACTGGCTCAAGTATTTTTATGCTTAAAATTTGCCATCTTGTGGGTTTTAAATCTGCACCAAAGCTAAAACATAGAATCCCAGCATGGTTTGGGTTGAAAGGTCCCATCCCTGGAAGTGTCCAAGGCCAGGCTGGACAGGGCTTGGAGCCACCTGGGCTAGTGGAAGGTGTCCCTGCCCATGGCAGGGGGATGGGAAGTGGATGATCTTTAAGGTCCCTTTCAACCCAAACCATTCTGGAATTGTGTGATAAATCTGGAGCAAACAAATTGACAGTAAGAGCTTTTCCAAGTTAACCTTGGAGTGAGAAATGCTTCTGTGCTTGCCTTAAACCTTCTATTAATTCTGACTGTTGCTGTCTGCCCCTCTGTATTTCCAAACCAATCTAACATTGCAGAGGCATCATCCACTGTGTTGGAGAAGCTGGAAGGGCCAGGTGGACAAACATCCACAGTATTTTGTTTGGCTGAGAGATGCTGCAGCAGCCAGAGGGTCACTGCAGGCTCTCCTCTCCTAGTTGGAAAGTTTTCCCTGCAGTTCTCAGGGAGTTAATTGTGGCAGCCCTGCTCTGATCACTGCCCTGGTGTGTTTGGCTCCACTGAAGAGCCTCCTGGAGCAGGAATTCAAGACCCGTTCAGCAGTGACAGGTTTAGGCTGTCTTTAAAAATCTCATAGCAACCAAGGAGCACGGGCAAACACTCCAGAGTTCACTGGAAAAAAAGAGGCAGGAGCCCCTTTTGCTTGTCCTCTGGGATATAATAAGGTGTTGGTACAAGTGCTTGTGTAACTCAGCTTTTCAAGGCATAAATTGTGTGACAGGGGCGAGTCGGGTCCATCGGTTCCACCGAATGGATCCTCTGAAGTCGAGGTGGCCACAGCTTGTCTTGGGCTGAGCTGAGGAGTGCTCAGAACGAATTCCCAGAAAGAGACAAAAGCAGAGGCTCTTTTAAGGACTTCCAAGGATGTTGTATAACTTGTTCGGAAAAAAATAAATAAATGAGGCCAGCCCAGGGTGCTGAGTCACTGGGAGGTTTAACCTCAGGAGTGACGGGTTGGGTGGGATTGGACTGGCTTTGCAGGGGGAGTTTTTGACTCCTGAGTGTGAATTCAGCGATATGTGTTGGGTTTTTAACCATTCACTTCCTCACAGACTTGCACCAAATGGGCTCTTTGTCAATCCTGTTGCTGAGATGAGATTTGTTTTATTTATAATAAAGGTGTGAGTCCTGTTGGCACAGGGCTTTGGGCAGCTCTTCCCTACCTGCACCTGCTCTGACACCTTTCAGTCTGCAAAGCTGCAAACCAAACAATTTTGACTTAATTTCCTTCTCCCCCCAAGATCTGAAAAAAAACCCACCCAGCACTTTTGTCACCGACAGCGCAAATTTTAACATGAGAAAAAGCAAAATATTGCCTCATTTGTTCATCCCTGAGAATTCCTGTTTCATTCTCTGCAAATTCCCATTATAAACATGACACTCGGGCAAATTATCTGCTTTAGCCATCTTGTTGCTGAGGAGGATATCATATTAATTTCCTTGTAATTTAATTTTTTTCTCATATATGTGGGATCCTTTGGTTAACAGTCTTACAAATCTTAATGTAAGTCACTTGGGCTTTGCTTCTGGCATCTAAAAAGACAATGGAAGTGGCACTGAAGTGATCTTGGATTTTCCAGGATCACCAGTTTTCCCCAGAGCTGCATGGAAACTCAGATTTGGGAGCTGCTTTTTGGCCAAGCACCTCAACCGTGTTGTTCTGGTGGAAGTTCTGCAGCTCCTGGGACCACAGGTAGCTCAAATCGTTGAGTTTTGGCTTTGTCCCCACAACCCTTATGAGCTTTATAGGAATGTTTTGGGCATCTGGAAACCCAGTTTGTGGTTGTAAAGGGGGCTGTTGTAAAAACTGAACCAGCTGGAAGTGTTTTCATGCCCTGCACTCGTTCCCAGTGGTGGGATTTCAGAGCAAACTCCTTTGGGGCTGCAGCTTTCTTTGGGTTTGCCAAAGGAGTCCTGCAACAAATTCAGCTGTAGCTTCTCTCCCTCTGAGATCCTCTGTGTGTTTTAGGGAGCCAAGGAGATTTCCCTGTCAGTTCTTATCCCCCCCATCCCCTCAGTGGTGCATCCAGGCAGAGTGAGGAGGTGCTCTTGGTCTGGGAGGGCTCACAAGTGCTGTCCCACACCCGGGCTCTGCAGTGCCCTCAGGATTTGGGGGTGTCTGGGATGGAGATCACTGCCCTGCTCAGGGACCAGGGCCAGGGTGAGACAGTGTTGAATTAAAGGGTGTGTGAGGAGCTCTCCAGGCAGCCAGGCTCGCTGCATTCCTGTGAAATATGGCCTTCCAAGCCCTTGAAGGATTTATTGTTTTCCGGGCACTGCTGGATCCAGTCCGATAGGCTGGATATAGGAAGGAAATGACTCAGTTGCTCTCCAGACAAGTGCAGCTTTGAAATTCAAAGAGGCAGGAGACAGCTGAGAGGCTCCAACTCATTCCCATCACGAGTTGGGCCCCTGTGTGTCCGTTACTCCCTGTGCCTGGACTCCTGGTGGGACGGGACAGGGGTGGGAGGGAGAAGGCTCAGACAGGCAGTGATCATGATGCCTCAGAACCCTCTGGCATGAGGATGCCGTGGGAGAGCAGGTGACAGAGTGAAGGTGGGGTCCATCAGAGGGTTGAGGCCAGTGGTGGTGGTGGGAGCAGCTGTGAGCTCCGTGCTGACCATGGCCAATGGATTGCCACGCCGGGGGCACGGCGTGGGACAGAGCCTGCAGCAGCAACAGCTTCCAAGTTGTTTTGTTTTTTATGGCGAGTTCCCCACCCCCACAGGGTGCAGAATGAGCCTGGTGAGGAGTTTGGGTGCTCCAGCTCCCGTGACTCCTTTCCTCTCACCCGTGTTGTCCAGAGCTGGCCCCGCTGTCCTGCTGCTTGTGCTCTGCTCTGAGCTATCCAGGGACTTGTGAAGCTGCTGATTTTGCAAGACAAGCCCAGGCTTTCAGGATGTCTTATCCATCAAAGTGTGCAGCCCCTCTTTAGCCTCGTAACTTCTGGCTGATGTCAGATGTGGACGTAAGCAGATGCTTTCTCCATCTTATTATCAGCTTGGTTGGAGAGAGAGAAGTTTCTCAATGACAGAGATCCTTAGCAATGAAACAAGAGTTAGTGTTAAAAATAAAGAAAACAAGACAGCTTGTTTCATCTAAACAGAAGGGTTATTAAACAGGCTTGAATTAATCAGTGAACTGCCAGAGCTCTGAAATTGAAAAGCAGGGCAGAGGAGCAGGGAGCAGATGAGTGGGAAAGAGCCACTTTCTCAAGTAGACATTGATGTCCAAAGGCTGCAGGAGAGGGGATGATGTTCAGCTGATGCTGGGACAGAGGTGAGATGGCTCCAGGCTTTGGGGGTCCTTGGCTGGACCTCAGAACACGAGGCTGGGGGCACCTGGCTGCCAGCACTGGTAGCCCCCTGGTCCTTGTGCCCAGGTGGGATCCTGCCTGCAGGCAGCTGCTGTCCCTGCGGCCACGAGCTCTGGCTGGGATGGTCACTTGTGCCTGGTGAAGCAAGCTGGGCAGGGAGGAAGCTGCTTTACACTTCCCACGGTTCAGGCATCTCAAAACACTGCCAGAAGCTGCATCAAGCCCCCCCAGTGATGCCTTTAGAAGGGCAACAGCCCTGGGTGAAGAGGCTTCGAGAGGTAAAGGCGCTTCCTTTGTGTGGCTGACGAAGCTGGTGGTGAGGGCAGTTCCCAGCACACTCCTCCACCAAGACAGGCCTGACAAGGGCTGGTTAATGGTCCCTGAAGGGTTCTCCAGTGCTGTGTGGCCCCTCTCCTGCATCAACCTGTCTGCTTCGGTTTTCCTGTTAATTTAAGGGCTTTTGTGTCGTGTTCTGCATTTCCAAATCTTTGCCATCCCACGGTGGTACCTGGATGATAATTCCTCCTGCGTTTGTGGTGGGGATGCCAGGGAATGGTAGTGACTGGCAGCTGGAATCTGAGGTGGAGCAGCGAGCTGGTGCTGGGCTGAGAGCAGGGATGAACCTCTCCCTTTGTGTGTTCCTCCACTTCTTACCCCGACAACTCCTGCCCTGTTTTGGTGCTGTGCCACCCCTGCCCTCCCAGTGTGAGGGGGGATAGCACCATCCTGGCCTGGCACGGAGCACCATCACCAGGGAACTCCTCTCAAACACGCACGAGGGTTGGAGGCAGTGGCATGTTCTGAAGGATTTCAGCACTGCTGGCTGAGCAAAATCTGCAGCTGCACAGTTGGGGATTCGGCATCTCAGAACCTAATTTTAACAAATGTACAA